AGGAATAGTTGCGTGCTGGGGTGCAGGGTGAAGCCAGGACTCTGAGGCGCGCGAAGGTTAAGCGAGGATTTGCGCTCGCGCTGTTGCTGCCTGCAGTTTGCATTGGAGCCTGTGAAAGGAGCCGCTTGCGTTGGTGCCCTCAGTGACTAGCGGAGGCGATTCGGAGCGTGTGGAGTTGCACGTAGTTCATTGCAGAAACGGTTGTTTGGCTTAGGCAGCAGATAGAAAGCCACGAATAATAATGCCAGTGTGGCTCCAGAAGGGCCCACTGCGTTGTGCATAATAAATTAGATTAACTTTCTGTGTGTGATAGCACCGAGTTTCTCTTCTCTGCCAGGCTTTGATATGTGGAGACTGAAACTATACGAAGTGATGACTCATCAAATCGTAAGCGGTTCGTGGCTGGAATAAGCTTAATGAATTTCGGAAGAGCCAGGCAGTCTTCAGAGCCGCGGTGTTGACATTCCTCTGAAAATCCCAGCCTTTCATTTCTCTAAAGCACGGGAGGAGCTGCCTGCCTTAGCTTTTGCACATTGATAGAAATCCAGGCATCAATTGGTAGAAGTTAAGCGGTGACAAAAAGCTCTTCCCTGGAGTGGCTCTAAAGCTTGCTGAGGCGAGAGCCCCACTGATGAAGCGCTGGGTGCGGTGCAGGAGCAGGACTGTTATCTGGGGGATTTCTGTGACTTAAGGAGTTTAACTAGCGAGGGGCGGAGGGCTGAGGAGGAGATCATAGGGCAGCTCAGAGATCACGCTGCAACTCCAGTGCAGCGCACAGATAATACTGAAAAGGGAGGCTACGCTTCCCGTAAAACCAGTGACCAGCTTTGATAGCCTGCCAGTTCCTAAAAAACCTGCCCTCTGAGGAGAAGGCTCAAAGGAGCTGTTGCATTCAGTGCTAGAACCGTTAATTGTGACCTGAGCGTATGAATGCTGTTAGGGTTGGAGGCTCTTGCTTCCCATGATGTCAGAAATGGATGCGAATTGAATGCTTATTCCGAAGAAAATTGGGGTTTAAGTAGCCACGTGGGTGGTCATGAAGTAGAGCAGTCGTGACCGAGTCCTGGCCTCTGCTGTCCGTCTCCTTAGATGCTCTCTTACGAAAGCAGAGATGCTTTGTGGAGGTCTTCAGCTGTGAGTGCAATGGCTGCAAGCTTAGAGGAAAACAACAGTTTATCCCTGAGTTTTGCTACAGAGACCGGTTTCCCTGGGTGAAGGTGACTCAAGGGAGCGGGGTAATAGGAGCTGTGGCGAGCAATGCTTGGCTGCAAAGGACCTGCAATGAGAGCAGCGACTTAAAATCAATCCAGGAATAGCAGAACTTAGTTATCCAATGCCGACTTCACCTGAATTTCCCTCCTTTGATTCTGCAGGCACTGTGAGACTCCTGTTAACCTGGGGATGCTGGCTAGCGCTTCTCTCGCCTACCAGCCTGAACCATGCAGTCACCAAAGGTTCACTTGTGATCCCAAAACCTGAAGAAGAGTCTTTGAGTGAAGTAATTTCTGAAGGGAAGAGAATTAAGGGGGAAAGGGATGACAGGAATGGTGCCCAGGTTAGCAACACGTCGTGGGTTTTGGCTTTCTTCTGCGAGGCCGCAGAACGGAGCGTGCTTCCGCAGGTACCTGGCGAGCTAGCAGCCGAGCTTGCTCCACACGGACACCGAGCCCGGCACTGGGGTATCCAGCGCCTGCTTTTTCCATTTGCTGTAATACACCAGAGGGATTCGATACCAGCAAAGCTGTCGGCAAGCGCCAGACTAGGAGGTGAGGTGTGAAACCCTCCTAGGTGGGCCTCGTACGCAGCAGGCTGGTGCCTGGCCGCTTGGATCCTCTCTACGGGAAGGGCAGTTGGGCGACTCAAACTGGCCATCTTCAGCATCTCCTGGTGTGGAGTTTCCAGTTTGCAGGCCCTCCTCGTTGCTGGAGCTACCTCTGGTGCTCACCCACAGAGATGGCTGCGCGCTGTCTGGCTTGTGAAAGTGCAGGGCTCTCTTGGCGTGTTCTAGAGATAAGCAGAGAGGGTCAGGGAAGTGTGTAGCCTTCAGAAATAGTTCAGAAATGATGTGGGGGAGTGGGACCACTGATAGTAGCCCAGGCATTTAGTGAACCATGTCGCACGGATTCTTGCCTTAACCTTCCTCCCTTGCTGCCGACTGCTCAGGCTTTCAAAGGGGGCTGTTATTTCGGGGCACCCTGGAAGCTGCAGGCACCTGGCTGCCTTGCAGCTCCTGCGGCGCAGCAGCGGACGGGCCTGCGTGATCTGTAAGTGGCTGAGAAAGTCGGGCTTTGGTCTGCTGCGCACTTACAAATGTCTCGGGTAATTTGAAAACTCACATTTATGTCTGTTCTGTTCTGTAGTGACCAGGAGTTTCCTTTTCTCTCTTAAGGAACTGAAGTGCAACGTTGAGGGTCCCTGCTTTCACTGACTGTTCGTTTGTTACAGAAATACCACTCGGAGAGCAAGGGCACTGACCAGGTGGCAGAGACGCAAGCTCAAATCGATGAACTTAAAGGAATCATGGTTCGAAACATAGGTATCCTAGCTTCCCTCGGTGCCCCCTCAGGCGTGCAGAGTTCCTCTGGGCCAGGACAGCAGCCCGCAGGGAGGGTACCGGGAGCGGGGGCCTCTCTGGGCAGAAGGAGCTGATGAAGAAGGGGCTGGCGGAGCTCTGAGCTCGCAAGCTGTTCCTCGCGCTGAATGTGGTTGAGGGTGGCACGTGGGCGTGAAGAGCGCTGCTGGAGATGAACTCGCGCAGCTTGTGGCGGGGTAAAGCATGTTCTGGGTTTGGTCTGTTTGTCACTGTGGCTTTCCTGCAGCTGCCGTGAGGAAAATGCTCTTTGGTAGCTTACTTTTTTTTTTTTTTTTTTGTGTCAGGCTTTCTGGTTTGGGTTTTGACAAGTCTGACTGCTTAAAATAGAAGGTTAGATCTGGAATTGACCAAAATTGAGTCAGGTCAGTCCCAAAACGTAGCCTCTGTGATGTGAGACTGTTCCTTTAAGTATTGTTGCCTGGCAATCTCCGAAAGGCTGCGAACTGCTTGATCTCTAATAACGCGCTGCCAAGAGCTGCTGGCTTGCCGTTGGGCTTGGGCACTGCGAGCAGCTTTTGCACTGGGATGCTACCTACAAATCTGGATGTTTGTCTCTTTCTCCAGACCTTGTGGCACAAAGAGGAGAGAAGCTGGAGTTGCTGATCGACAAAACAGAGAATCTTGTGGATTCGGTAAGTCTGGGGAAGAAGTTAGAAATGGGGAGATAGTATTACTGCAGCAGTTGTGCCATCAGGGAGCAGGGGAGGTGAAGACCAGCATCTAGAGCCCCTTCTAAACAGACTCCGAAGCATTCGGATCTACAGGTGATCCTTCCCTGCGCCAGACGCAACGTGTACAATATTCTGGTGATCATAATCTCCCTGGTTTGTGGGGAGAACCTGAAAATAACCAGCAGAGTGTGCTGCTGCCTTGGCTTGTTCGGGGCGCTGCGGCCTTTCTCTGGGCGGGCGTATCCTCGCCTGGGCTGCTCAGGGCGAGCGTGTGAACACGGTTGCACCAATACAGCCTGGTGGGTGCTGGAGGCCATTTGGTGACCAAAACCTGTTTGAATGGGTGGGATTGCAGGATACAGAGAGGAGACTCGGAACAGGGCAAACACAAGCTTTCCATAAAATGCAGCAAGGCCAAAGAGCTTCCAAAGAGCGTGGCCAGAGCAGGGCAGCGAGGCTGGGGCAGGGGCTGGAGCCCAAGGCTGGGGAGGAGCGGCTGGGGGAGCTGGGGGGGCTCAGCCTGGAGAGGAGGAGGC